ATGCATGGGACACATTCCTAATGGAATGTCAAATGCATTGTTTGATGTGTACCAAAATGAAGTGAGTGAAAAACAACTTTGAGACAAATTGGAAGGAAGATACATGGCTGAAAATGCAAGTAAGAAGAAATTTCTGGTTAGTCATTTCAATAACTGTAAAAAGGTTGATAATTGTCCTGTTATGGAGCAATTACATGTGCTTGAACGCATTCTAAATAGCTTTAAGCAATATGAACTTGAAATGGATGAAGCTATTATGGTATCTTCTATAATTGATAAGCTTCCCTTTTGTGGAGAGACATAAAAAATAGAAAATGTCTCTCGAAGACCTTGGTAATCATCTTGGAATAGAGGAAGATTATTGAAAATAAGAAGTCAAGCAAGATGAAAAGACGCTGTCGCGGAGGATCGAGCGATTGGGTTGGTTTAACGAGAGAGATTTAAGAGTAACATCTTGCGGATGGATCGCCTGTGGTGTGTATGTGTGGTACTACGGGCATTGGGATGGGCGTGATCGGTGGGGTGTGTGGTGTGGCTGTGGACAGGTATTTAATGAAAAGAATCTTGAGATTGTTGAAGGTCCATGTGATGGAGCACAAATCATCAAACAAAACTAGTCTCATGCAACAAAGAGACATCTGTTGGAATGAATGACAAAATTTCATAAAATCAAAGGCAATAAAGGAGCTATGAGTGAGTGGGGGGGTGTACGGCCAGAGGGTGCGGGGGGTGGTTCACTCACAGGTAAAGGTAGTGTATTTGTGTGTGTGCAGTGGGTGGCGGTGGGCCCGAACCTACAAAAATAACCCAAAGGGGGGGTAAATCAGAGAGAGTTGTGTTTGTAACAACTTGGACACTTCCAGCAGAATGTAAACTGTTTGAAGAAAAAAAAAACACAAGGTTGTGAACAACAAGTTTGTGACTATGGTTTTGAGGTCAACTTTCTCCATGATGATGGAGCATGGTGGATTGACACTTGTGCGACTAAGCATGTATGTAAGGACAAAAGTTTTTTCAAGTCTTTGGAAGTGGTTAATGATGGAACGATGTTGTACATGGGAAGTTCCTCCACTACACAAGTGAAAGGAAAAAGTGCCATGGAACTCATGTTTACTTATGGATGAATACTTATGCTAAATGATGTTTATTATGTACCGGAAGTTATAAAGAATCTTGTGTCAAGTGGTTTGTTG